CAACCCGGAGCAAAGCAACAAACCATTGCGTAGCTAACTAGTAGCGCTAGCTTTAGCTAACGTTAGCTAACGAAACGAACTGCCGAGTAAAATTGGAAAACGCTGGTAATTAATTGTTCTATAATTTGTAAAACTACGGTGTTAAAAAAGACAATTTCAAAAATACAGATTCTAATGGTCAGATATATATATACAGATACTAAAGATATGCATGTACTTGCTTTCAAGCAGAACACAGGGGAAAACAAACTTAGCGGGAGTGTTTACGTGTTCGGCGTAATGACGTACAACGGCCTCGACAATTTCTGTAGTCCTATTCAGCCACTCGGTAACAACCATCGTTTTTCAGACACGTAAACTCTTCAAAAATCCCCAGTGGGGTCACTGCTGATGTATTTAATGTCGTAGAACAAAACGTCAATTACCTCTTAAATTTGTGTCAACCACAGACCTTATTTCGAGCTATTTTCCAAAACCCTATGGAAAAAATGCATTGCTTTTTGAGGAAGGAACCGGAAGTGCTAAAAATGCTAACTTACTTCCGGGTTTTACGACGCGTCACTGCGGCTCTCTATTGTGCCTAAACAGACAAATATGAACAATGCCCTCGTTTTAAATGAGAAAATTACAATCAAAATATGAACAACTCAATTGATCTGCTGTAGCCTAGCCTGAACGCTGATTTCTGCATCGTCGTGCACCCTCGGACAAATCCGTTACTCATCTTAGCTTTTCTTCAGATGTCGCAAAACATTTTGCTATCTTCCCTCCTCAGCCACTTAAACTCTTGCTCCCACTGAACCCGGTACTCCCGCTTGAACTCATTGCCACTTGCTTGCCCCTCTGCCGCTGGCTGAACGTTGTCAGTTTTAGTCTTACTGGCTTGTCCTTCATCCTCCACCGCATCAATCCCTCTTTTTTCACCTCGTTTATCCACACCATCACAATTACTGGGCTTATTAAAAAAGCTTCGGACGATCAGCTGCCGTGACATTTTGCGATTGCTAAAGCCGGTTAAACAACGAGATAATCAACAAGGTCAAAAACAAGACTAGACAATAGCTACTTAATATACACACACTCGCCACCAACTGGACAGGGGTGTGAATGACTAAATAATAGTTACATACTGCAGTACAGTAGATCGCCCTCAGTCTACCTGGCCACTAAGGATGTAATATAATGTGGGCCGCTGGTGGACATTTTGGCGCTGTTCCGAGTTGTGTTCTAATCTGTCAAAATGACGGACTGCTTTCAGATTTTTCCGCCATTGTTAGAAAAAATCCGTCATTGACGGAAAATATTCGGTTAACGCGACCTCAGTGTGACATGTTGACATGTTTAATGTCAGAAAGCTCTTTATTTTTCTCATACTGCCTGTGCTGCGGCACCTCTTTTCATCCTCTGTCTGAAACCAGAGCCCAGTCTGCTCTGATTGGTTAGCTGCCAATCACCAACCAAGGTAACCCCCCCCTTATCACCTGAATCTCCTCCTAGAGCACCATTGTGTTCTTTGTAACCAAATCTCTCTCTGAGGGGTGTGGGGAGGGGCTCCTTATTTTCATCTAAACTAACAGAGAGAGATTCAGCACTTTGGAAACTGGGCTGAAACAGAGGGGATTATGGGATGCTGCAATGCACGATCTGTTTGGTGTTTGGAGCCAAAAACTTCAGACATGTTTTGTGTATAACTGAGACCTATAATATATTGATGAAAAAAAGTATAATAGGGGACCTTTAAGTAAACAAAGCTTGCATTGCTCGCTAAATTTGGTTTGCTACTTTGCTGCTCTGTAGAAAAGAGATAGTCAGATTCTTATTGTCTGCCCTCAGCACAGCATATAAAGGAAGTTATTGAAACCTTTTTCACTTTTCTCTTTGAGAATGAAACTGAATACCTAAAAGATATCCTCCCAGATTAAAAACCTGTGTGTGAGCTGACAATTCTGCTTCCTTTTCTTTTTCAGGCTTATGAACGCCGGTTCCCCACCTGTCACCTGATCCCTATGTTTGTGGCAAGTGACGTGGTGGAAGAGGAGACCAACGAGGACGGCTCCACCACCCGAGTGCAGCGCCGCTGCGCACTGGATGTTGACGCCCCGCGCCTGCTCAAAAGGGTACGATGTACATAAGATCGTCAGCTAACGGGCATCTCAATTATAGCATTGAATAAGGTGTTTTCTTTTTTTTTCAAATTTAATACAGGCAAGAAATACACAAAAAGGACACACTAGTATAAGTGTTTCCCCTAGGTTTACTGCTTAGGGGGGGTGCTGGCTGAGCGGGGGGGGGTCATTGGGATATTTTTTTTGTAAACACCTTCAATTTCAGGGGGGGGCTCCGTTGGCGGGGCTCCAAAAAATATGGCCAGAACATAATAATTGTTCCATATAATCCCACACTTTGTTAAAGCTAATTTTGTCACATTTCATGTTTTGTTTTGCCACCTTGTAATGGTTTGTTGGAATATTTCTTCCATAAGACATTGGCTTTGACATTTATTTAATGTAAAGTATTAATCGTTCATTTTTATTTTTTTATTTCATAAAATACATTTGCTTGTTCATTTATGGCTGGGCGTATAAGAAGTTCAATAGGATAATACCTATTTTTGGTGTCTGGTTTCTTGTAACATGAGTTGTGTGTTTGGTTTGCAGATTGCGGGTGTGGACTATGTGTACTTCATCCAGAATAACACTCTCAACCGCAAGGAGAGGACACTTCACATCGAGTCCCATAATGACACCTTCTCCAACAGAGTCATCATCCATGAGACCTGCTGCTATTCGGTCAGTAGCACACACACACACACACACACACACACACCACACACACACACACACACACACACACACACACACACACACTAAGTATATTTGTTCTAATGTCAACGTTATGGAAGAAGTATTTGGTACAGCTCTGCAACCCATTGAGATTGACAGAACCACACACTTTTTCCCCACAGACACATAAGCAAACACACGCACGTTCATTAAAGCTGCTGTTGAGCTGCTAGCACAGCCATTTTAATGTTTGTGTCTCCTCTAATCTCTTCACTTCTTCCCTGCACAGAAAGCCATGTTTAGACTAGTGCTAAGCATTTTGCTAGCTCTTTCTCTGTGAATCATTCATTCCGCTCACATTCTGACTGAATGCTCTGAACTTCTGATCTGAAACCAGCATGTCTTCTGTTTTCTCCCCGCTGTGTGCGTAACTCTGACTTCAGATGTGCCGATTCATGAATGGATGTGCTCTAAGTTAATGAGGTCAAGCACATCCTATTAGCCTCCAACAAACTGTCGTGCTAATTATAGGTCCAAGGCCGCACAGAGGTTCTTATTGTGTGCTTTAGCACACTGTGCGAACAGTTATTGGGTTGGACAGCTCAATTCCACTGAGCTAATGGACCTGGCTCACGCTGAAATACTTTGGTATAAGCCTTCAGGAAGCATTCAACTTTTTTTTCTTTAGTTCTCTGAAAAGTTTGTTCTATTCACCTAAGTGATTAACATTGCGAACATCTACATTTGGCAATGCCTTAGTTGTCATGTGCTTCTTAGTCCAAATACTGAGGGTCTTTAATCAAAACTTCTCAGGAGATTTAATAATTGATATTAACAACACAAAGACAAAACAACTAATTTGAAACTCACACAAAGCAATCTGCTATATAGAAAATCACTCTGGTGCTATACAGTATAATAAAACACTGGGTCCACTACCAGTTGTACAGCGCTGTTATAGAGTGATGCATCTTTCCCTTCCTTACTATCGTTCACCTCCAACCAGTCAAGTAGTTTAAATCCATGTCTCTCCCAAATCATCATCATTTTATCCGCATGAATTCATGAGTTTTGGTGTTTTATTTTCAAGGCCAAGTCAACATTTGTGCCAGTTTTTAAGAAATTCCTAAAATTCCCATGTCAAGGCATTCCTGAGATTTCGCGTACATAATCCGGTAATAATGCCTTTGCTACAGTCATTAAACCTGTGCTTTGTATAAGTTTTGATCATTTAAACTGATTATTTTCTCAAATTTTGGTCTGAAAAGCCACACGTTCTTTTTGACATTACCTTTCAAAACCTTCATGCTGCTCACTGCATGTGTAAAGGGGCTGGCTATTTTTATACACACAGACTGACACACACACTCCCACTCACAGTGCACAGTGTGACAAGTGCCACATGCATGCGTCATCATCTAGTGAACCTTGGTGTGTGGTAACCATGGTAACCTGGGCATCTTGTTCCTGCATGTGTTTATTAAGTTTACTATATATTGTTTGTTTATGCTTCTGTTTAGGTTCATCCGGAGAATGATGCCTGGACGTGTTTCGAGCAGACCGCCAGCCTGGACATCAAGTCCTTCTTCGGCTTTGAGAGCAACGTGGAAAAGATTGCTATGAAGCAGTATGCCAGCAGTATCAAAAAGGTAACTTAATAAATGTACACGTGTCTTTTATGCTTTCTTTGTACCCACAGACAGACACATTGGTAGAGAATACAGCAATATTTTGATTTGAGAGGTTTTTCAAGCATGAGTCAGTCTGCCTCATGCTGTAATTGCAGAAACAAACTTGTAGAGGATTTTTCTGCTGTGGACCCAATGAGTCATCTGCCTTCATTTATGATGGATGTGTGGAATGCATTCTCTATATTTTTCCCCTGTTTTTACAAGGCATCAGTTTGAAATTCTAAATAATAATAATACATTAGATTTTCAAGCCCTTTATCAGGTGCTCAAAGACACTTAACAGTGGTAAAAATGAATTAAAAAAAACTAGCTAATAAAACAACATTTGGCGCAAGGACACAACATTAATCATACATTAAGAGCCACTCTGAAAGAGTGAGTACTGTATTGGTCAGTGTCAGGTCAAATAAATATATGCAGAGCCTAAGCTTTCCTTATAGTTATACAGTATATACATATATAAATTAGTACACAGAGATACAGTATCTTGAGTGATGTTGGTCTGTATACCTCACTGTAAACAGGGAAAAGAAATCATCGAGTTCTACCTGAAGGAGCTTGAAGATGAAGGGATCACCCAGGTGCCCCGCTGGACTCCCTCCTCCCTCCCCCTACCTGTCTCCAGACCCACCAGCCTCTTCACCAGCCTACCTGCCCCCCCTAAACCCGCCATCACCTTCCCCATTTCTATCCCACTGCCCATCAACGCTAAGGACAGCAACTCTCAGGATGACACGCAGGACAGCCGCACACTTCAGGCAGACGTCCTGACGGAGATCCTGACGGGGACACCCGAAGGTCTGTTCCTGCAGAGGATCATAAAGAGAAAACCAGCCCTATATGCACGTTTGATACATAGTAGGGAAACAACTTGACAGATATAACCGCAGAATACACACAAAGCAAAGCCTCATTGTTAAGTAATGGAGGGATGCACATTTGCTAGCAAAATATGAAAATAAAGGAAAGTTAAACCTTAAAAGGTCTTAGAATGACAGAGAAATGACAGTTGTTGACCTGTTATTGGGTTTTTGTTTGTGTATACTACAGTGTTTGACTGAATAATGTTGATTTGAGATGTTGTTGGTGTTTCAGATAAGTTGGATTCGGACTATATCAAACGTTACCTAGGCGACCTGACCCCTCTGCAGGAGAGCTGTCTGATCAGACTTCGCAAATGGCTGCAGGAGACGCATAAGGGAAAGGTAACTGTTTAACACTTGTAGTTATGTTGAAATCAAACATAATAGATTGGTGCAATGGTGATGTGTTTTTGTAGGCCGAACTGGAAATGAGCATCGAAAGGGCTACCTTGACAAATAAGCAAAAAGCACAGCAGGAAAATCTCCACATATTAACACCACTTTTATGATTTTCGAGGTGTAAATGCAATCACCAGAAGTAAATGCTTATGTTAGGCTGTACACAAACTAAGTTACGATCCTCTGGCTGCGCATCACCACTGCTAAGCTAAAGGCGGCTACTGTTTGTCGTGATGGCGTTTAGTAGTCTCATTTAGACACTTGTTAGAAAGCGCCTTTTTTATGACATGTCAAAATTAAGAATTTCCACATTGGGTATTTACTAACCATTTACATTATTTTAGGCATTTAATCAAAATTGAATTAAAAAAACCATTGACTTTGAAACGAGGGTGGTAAAATGCCAACTCGTATCGATGTTTTAGGACTCGGTAGCAATTTTCAGCTATAATGAATTTAGACATTTTTAGAAGGCTTACTGTCAACTAGGAATGCCACAGTGAAGACATTTTCCCACTGGTAACTAAACCGGTTCCAACACCAGTGTAACCCATGAGATCAGACATTTTATTGTTAGTGAAAGTTTAGTTTTTTTATTTACAAAACGCTCTTTCCTTCCTCTCCAGATCCCTAAGGACGAGCACATACTGCGCTTCTTGCGTGCCAGGGACTTCAACATGGATAAGGCACGGGAGTTCCTCTGCCAGTCGTTGACCTGGAGGAAGCAGCACCAGGTGGACTACCTGCTGGAGACCTGGAGCTCACCTCAGGTCCTCCAGGACTTCTACACCGGAGGCTGGCACCACCACGACAGAGGTAGGACCTAACGGAGGGCATCAGTGTGAGCATTGAATTAAAAGCAAAACATTAAAATGGTCAAATCCACAGGTATACTCAAAGACAGTTGAACATTTTGCATAAAATCAGATGATAAATAGTGTATTAATCCCAAATTGGGAAATTGTTTTGTCATAGCAGCATATTAACAGGCGTTTCACAAGAGTTAAAAATGTAATAAAAGTAAAGAAGAAATACAAATAAACAGTAGATACATACATTTCAACAGTATAAATATATATATATAGTATACTCAATATAAAATATACATAACAAGTTAAAAAAACTCAAGAACAGTGGATACTTTATATTATAAAACGGACAAGTCAAATCAAGCAATCTGATTGGTTCTTAGCCGTGATATACTGAGCGTATACCACGGGTAGAATTGTAAGTTACTTTTCACAACAAGTCAGTATCCCTCCGCGTCTGAGAAAAACAGTATACCGTTGGGCTTTTCTTTTCTTACTGGAACAAGAAAGCAGCGGAGAAGTAACGGGGCAGAAGCCCTCCTTTTGGACGCAGCGGTCCAGACATAGACATCAAACGGCAAAACATATTCAGTGTGCAGTTCCTTTGGCATTAGGGCAGGGATATCTAGATACTTTTGAAGGTTTAACATAATTAATTGTGCTACTTTTAAAGCAAGCAACGATGT